GGGAGGCCACCCTTAACGTGCAATACAAGAGTTTTGAAGGTCCACTAGACTTGTTAGTAGTAGGGGGTGAAAGAACGAGTCTCATAGGACTCGATTGGTTTGAGGCCCTGGGGATACACGTCACAGGACTCAACAGCTTACAAACACTCGACCTACAGGAAGTCTGCAAGGAATTTGCAGATGTTTTCAGCCCCCAGCTGGGCACATTCAAAGGACCACCTGTGTCCTTAAAGCTAGACCCCACTGGCACTCCCATTAGGATTAAAGCAAGAAGGGTCCCTTTTGCTTTAAAAAGTAAGATTGACACTGAATTAGACAAACTAATCCAACAAGGAATCCTAGAACCTGTTGATTCCAGCCCTTGGGAGACCCCCATTGTCACGCCTCTAAAGGCAAATGGGGACATTCGCATTTGTGCTGATTACAAATGCACACTCAATAAGGCATTGCAGCAACATGCCTATCTGTTCCTGTGGTCAGTCACATCCTGGCCTCTCTCAAGGGGGGGCGTGTTTTTGCAAAGCTTGACCTAGCTCAAGCATATCAACAGCTGCCTGTTGATAATGATGCTGCCATAGCTCAGACTATTGTGACCCACAGGGGAGCCTTTAAGGTAAAAAGGCTGCAGTTTGGAGTGAATGTCGCTCCTGGGATTTTCCAAAGCGTAATGGAAAACACACTACGATGTATACCAGGGGTCTGCCCCTACTTTGACGATGTCTTGATTGCAGGAGACTCCACACACATTCTAGCTGAAAGACTTAGGGCTGTCCTGTTAAGATTCAGGGAATCAGGCCTCAAGCTCAGAAAAGACAAATGCAAGATCGGGGTGCCTTCTACTGAATTTCTGGGATTCAAAATTGATGCTGCTGGGATTCATCCTGCTGAATCCAAACTAACTGCTATTTTACAAGCACCCAGGCCAAAGTCTAAGGCCGAACTTCAGGCCTTCCTAGGCCTCCTGAATTTCTACAATTCTTTTCTTCCACATAAAGCTAGTGTAGCTGAGCCTCTTCACAGGCTACTAGACAAACAAGCTGTGTGGCTGTGGTCACAAGCACATGAGGCTTGCTTTAAAGAAGTCAAGGCCTTGCTCACTTCTAACAGTGTTCTTGCACATTTCAACGAGTCTCTTCCTGTGTGCATCGCTTGTGATGCATCCCCCTACGGGGTTGGAGCTGTCCTGAGTCACCTCAGGTCTGATGGAACTCAGGTTCCTATTGCATACTACTCCAGAACACTGTCTTCTGCCGAGCGCAACTACGCTCAGATAGACAGGGAGGCTCTGGCTGTTGTTGCTGGAATTAAAAAATTCCACGATTTTCTATATGGCAGGCATTTCACGGTCTTCACTGACCATAAGCCTCTGCTGGGACTGTTTACCACACGTAAGCAGACTCCCCACATCATTTCCCCTAGAATGCTTAGGTGGTCTATTTTTTGTCTGCATATGATTTTTCATTACTCCACAAGCCTGGGAAAGAAATGGGCCATGCTGATGGCCTCAGTAGGTTGCCTCTGCCAGTAGTAGAAGCTGACCCCGCGCCAGCTGTCAACATTCTATCAATCCAAGCCTTGCCCGAGCTTCCTCTTAGTGCCAGGGATGTTACCGCTGAAACAGGTACAGATCACACACTTTCACGTGTCCGCTCCTGGGTCCTGTCCGGGTGGCCTGAGCACTGCCCTAGTCCTGAGTTTCAGAGTTTCTGGTCCAAAAGGAACGAATTGTCCCTTTCTCAGGGTTGTTTGCTTTGGGGAAACAGAGTTGTCATTCCCACCTCAATGAGGACTAGGGTCTTAGAATCCCTCCACGAGGGTCATCCTGGCATTGTTCGTATGAAGGCTCTTGCACGCAGCCACTTGTGGTGGCCTGCTTTAGATAAAGATATTGAGGCTAAGGTACACGCATGCCACATGTGCCAACGATCTCGCCCAGAGATGCCCCAAGCTCCTGTGCATAAATGGGAGGAAACACAGTCCCCATGGTCTAGGGTGCACATTGACTACGCTGGGCCCTTTCAGGGCCAGTTCTTCTTGGTCCTTGTTGACAGCCATTCAAAATGGCTTGAGGTTGTGCCTGTCTCGACCACCACCACTGCAAAGACTATTCAGGTACTGAGGGGGATTTTTGCTGCACACGGGCTGCCAGATGTCATTGTGTCTGACAACGGCCCTCAATTCACCTCCTCCGAATTCCAAGCTTTCTTACAGGCAAACCTGATTCGTCATGCCACATCTGCGCCCTTTCACCCTTCCACCAACGGTATGGCTGAACGCATGGTGCGCATCGCAAAGGACGCCTTGAAGAGACTCACCTACGGGGACTGGCATCACAGGTTGGCTGACTTTCTCCTTTCTTATCGCACCACACCGTCCACTTCTACAGGGAGAAGTCCAGCTGAACTTCGTTGGGGGCGCCAACTTACTACGAGACTTGACCGGTTGCATCCGGACAGACTGCCTTCATCTACCTCACATCCTAGGGCACCTAGACAACTACTTGTGGGTGCCCCGGTTTGGGCTCGCAATTACGGGCCTGGTCATACATGGGTCCCCGCTTCTGTGTCCAGGATCACAGGTCCTCTCTCATACGAGGTTGCCCTGGACAACGGTCGTGTCCTGCGTCGGCACATCGACCAACTCCGCTCTAGGCGGGACTTTTCTGCTGAAACTCCTGGGTCTTTTCCAGGGGGGGAGGGGGACCCTTTGGAGCAAAGGGAAGGGCAAGAGTTACTGCCCATCTCCACTGAGGGAGCCACAGACGGCCCGTCCCAAGATTCTGCAATTGCTCCGAAAAGGAAGTCATGGAGCTTACCCACACAACAGGCATCCACGCCTACTCCAGCCAGGGAGTCACCCCGGGGGCATACTCACTTTCCACACACATCACACAGCACTCCAGTCACGGAGGATACCCGGGGGCATCCCAACAAATCATTCCCCGCAAGAGAGCTGGCACACAATCCCCAAAGTTGGCCTGACCTTACCCCAAATCCTACAGAGGGTCAAACATACACAGAGCTAGTCGAGGAACCAAGTCCCGACTACAACACCCCTAGCACAAATCAGGGGACACCTGAGTTTTGGGAGAGTACAGAAACCCACATGAGCCCAAACACAGAATGGGGTTCAGGGAATGGACAGCCTCCTGACAGGTCTTGGACTGACCTAGGAGGTCCTACAGAGACGCCCAGCAGCGGCTATCACTTCAAGGGGCCTGAGGGTCTACAGCTAGGTAGGACAACCAGGTCACAAAGCAACAGAAGCCCTGGCCTGACGAGCCCGGTGGGCAAGCAAGCAGGCCAGGCATCGGGGCACAGTCCTTGGAAGACACCAGGGCACAATAGAGAGAATAGGCTCACGCCTCCCTCCAGTCAGGGGACTTATGCCAGTAACCCACAGCTAAGAAGGTCACAGAGAGCAAAGAAATCTCCCAAGTACCTAGAAGACTACATAACATTGCTGGCAAGGCAAAGGCCAGTAAACAGTGGGAGCACTGGGGAGCAAAATGTTATATAAAATAAATGCTGTATGTTGGTAGTAGTTTTAGCCCGGGGGAAAGGGGTGTTATGTCCCGAGCCTTTGCAAACGGCTCGGGCGTTTGCAGGCAGTCCCGGGCAGGTGCAAAGCTGCCCGGGACCAGACAGGCTGTCGCCAGCGCCGTGCGCATGCGCGGGTGCTGGCGCGGGAAAAGTAACCCATTTACCCGGGAGTTGCCTATATAAGGGGCTGCGAGGCGTTTGGGCTGAGCTGAAGCCATCTTCCTGTAAGCTGAACGCTGAATAAAAGAAACTGAGAACTCCAGCTGCTTCTCGTGTCTGTTTTCCCGCCAAGGACGCAACAGATAGCATGTTTCTTTATTAATAGAAGCCATACATTCTGTTCTTAATAATGTTTGTGTCCTTCCCTGTTGTTTCTGAAGCTGGTCAGCTCAAGTTGTATTTTGTAACATCTTAAAGACTGTTGTGTGCTAATAAGGTTTTGGTTCTCCAACAAAAGCAGGACATGTTTTCTGATTATATTTATTTCAGGGTAGATTTGAAGACAAGAGCTGCAGCCCGTATGAAGATATATGTTAACCAATTTACTTTTTAACAGCAAGATTCTTTTGTAATCGTTTATTTTGACTCCCAAAATTACATCTGTTGAGTTAGAACGTATAGCGGTTGCAATAGATTTTTCCCCAGATTAGGGAAAATGACCAACTTTTCAAAACTGATAAACTATATTTTCAGTTTTGGGCAGAATTCTGAACTTGAATGAACAATTCTGGGAACTTGTTTGTGTTTTGGGTTATAAACAGCTGTTAATTATTCCCAGTCCTTGGCTTTTTAAAAGGATCTTTTTCTTCTTCCTGCTTCTCCTTCTTCTTAGCCCATTCGTGTGTTTGTGTGTCTGCATGTCTATGTGTGGGTGGGTAAGGGGATGGCTGTTGTATCCATGTGATAACACAACTATAAATTCTTCCTGCAAACTGAATCAAATGGTCTGAGTCCCTGAAAGTATGTGCCATCATATACCTGCTGGCCATGAAGATGCTATGCTAAGCTTTCTTCTGGTTGCTGTCGTAGTATATTGTCCTCCTTTTTGAACAGAATAGACCACATGAATCTAATTTTAACAATGCTCTGGAGCTCAGGTTAAGATATTCTACAAGGGAATGAACAAGAACACTGGGTTTTAAAATCATGAATCATGCAGAACTCTCTACGCAGCCCTGTGAAGGAATGAAGGAGGGTCATTTATAATCTTAACACAACTGTATGAATGGTTTGCCTTTACTGAATGCAGGCAGATTTCCCAAAACATGTAACAGAATTATTGTGTGCGTGCTGAGTAGAAGTTCCAAATTAAATTCACATACAAATTTCAAAAAGGGATACCTTACCAGAGTGCATTGTTTTCTCCCAAGTTACCCTTCCCGCCATAACAGCTACATAATCTATCTCAGATATAGCATCATTTGTTTGATATATATATTTAATACGTATTTTGCTACATTTAGCAATTTTGAAATGTGTGGTTATGTCTTATGTACTTCTTTGTAGGGTGTTGACTCAGCATTACCAGCATATCCTGGCACTGGTATTTGCTGTGAAAAAAATCAATGAAGACCCACATATTTTGCCAAACATCACTCTGGGCTTCCAGATCTATAACAGCCATTTCAGTGCAAGCTGGACTTATCTTGCCTCAATGGAACTGCTCTCCACCCAGAAGAGGTTCATTCCAAACTACAAGTGTGACAGGAGAAACAATGCAGTTGCCGTCATTGGGGGACCTAACTCAAATGTCTGCCTCCATATGGCCACCATTCTTGGTTTCTACAAGATTCCACAGGTAAAGGACATCTATATTTCTCACGCTTCCCTTATTGGCTTTATTACAATAAGGGGAAAACTATGTGGCTTTTTTACAGTTGAGACTCATATGTTCACTTTCATCCTTCATAATTGAATGTCAGAATTCCTCTGCTTATAGAGACTAAAATATTTTTTCCTGTGATCAAAATTTGTCTCATGTCCCCCGTTTCTTTGCAGAAGAAGGGCACACCTTCCAATTTGCCAAAATTGAGAGTAATAGATTTTATCCTTGACTTTTCATAATTTGATTTAGAAGACTTAGTTGCTAGAATCTAAAAATAACTAGCAATGCTTTCTGTGATCAAAAACTTGCACTAACGTGTTTACATATACAGAAGTATTTTGGGCAAACTGTTTTTTCTTGTTGCTATCTTCTATTGTTTTCTATTGATGTCTCATAGAAAACAGGATCACATGAAAACATAGGATCATGGCAGCTATATTATTACAGATATATTAACAGAATATCAGAGTTGGAAGGGAGGTTTTCTAACCCAACCCCCTGCTCAAGCAGGAAACCCTATACCATTTCAGACAAATGGTTGCTTAATCTCTTCTTAAAAACCTCCAGTGTTGGAGCACACACAACTTCTGGAGGCAAGATGTTCCACTGATGAATTGTTCTAATTGTCAGGAAATTTCTCCTTTGTTCTAGATTGGTTCTCTCTGTGATTAGTTTCCATCCATTGCTTTTTGTCCTGCCTTGAGATGCTTTGGAGAATAGGTTGAGTCCCTCTTTTTTGGGGCAGCCCCTGAGATATTGGAAGACTGATATCATGTTCCCCCTCGTCCTTCTTTTCATTAAACTAGACCTACCCAATTCCAGCAACCATTCTTTGTATATTTTAGCCTACGGCCCCTAATCATCTTTGTTGCTCTTCTCTGTACTCTTTCTAGAGTCTTAATATCTTTTTTAAAAAATATTGTGGTGACCAAATATATTCACCCATAGATATTATGACATAATTTTTCAAAAATATTTTTGTTCTTTATTTTTTTAAAAAAGGTTACATATGGATCTGCTCCAGTACTGCATTACAGAAGCCAAGCTGGCTTTGTGCAACAGATGTTCCCAAGAGGCACTCATCAATATAATGGGATCCTGCACTTACTTCTGCATTTCAGATGGACATGGATTGGGGTGCTTTACCTTGATGATGACAACGGGGAAAGGTTTGTGCAGAATGTCCTTCCCTTTTTCTCTGAGAAGGGCATTTGTTTTGACTTCATACAAAGGCTCCCCAAACAAGGATTTACGGGGGAAATGCAGAAACTTATAGAAGAAGGACTTGCAACTTACAAGACCATTATGAGAAACAGTTCCAATGTTTTGCTCATACATGGAGAAATTCAGACAATGCCAATTTTGAGATTCATGATAGCAAGTTCAGTATATTTGGATATATCTTCAAAGCCAGGTGATAAAGTCTGGATGATGATGGCTCAAATGGATTTCACTTCCTTTGCTTTCCAGGGCAGCTGGAGCATAGACTTCCTTCTTGGTGCGATGTCCTTGGCAGTCCAGTCAAAGAAAGTGTTGGGATTTCGAGAGTTCCTTCAGACCAGAAATCCTATCTCAGATAAAGAAGACGGTTTTATCCAGAGCTTCTGGGAAAGTGTGTTTGAATGTTTTTTCTCAAGCCTCGCTTCAGAAAACACGTCTGAGAAAATCTGCACTGGGTTTGAAAAACTGGAGTCTCTTCCTGGTTCTCTTTTTGAAGTGAAGATGTCTGCTCATAGCTATAGCATGTACAATGCCGTCTATGCTATAGCACATGCTCTGCACCACATACATTTCTTGAAATTCAAGGAAAAAATAATGGTAAAGGGGCAGAGAAAGAAACTTCTCAATCAATACTCTTGGCAGGTACAGTATATGCCCTTAAATGTAAATACAGGATGACAGCAGTGTTCCTATATTTGATGGGCTGCCATGAAGAGGAGTGGATAAACTATTTTTCAAAGCACCAGAAGCAAGACAAGAAGCAATGGATGGAAACTAATCACAGAGAGAAGCAACCTAGATCTAAAGTAGAAATTTCCTAGCAGTGAGAACAATTAACCAGTGGAACAACCCATGGAACAACTTGTGAGCAGACTTGTCTTTAAAAGTTATGGGTGCTCCATTACTGGAGGCATTTTAGAAGAGTCTGGACTGTCATTTGTCTGAAATGATATAGAGTCTCTTGCTTGAGCAGGCGGTTGGACTAGTAGATCTCCAAGATCCCTTCCAACTCTGTTATTCTGTTCTTTCTAGTCTATTTTATATCACAAATGGAAAATAGCTTATCGTAGCTTTATATGCAAAGGTATAACTTATAGGCTACAATCTGTGAGTTAAGAAGGAGGAGGGTGGAGGAGGAAAGTAGCTGAGTCCCTGCTGATTGGACCTCCATTGAATTTAAACTGCCCAGAGATTGCTGGGAAGAGCTACAATCTGTGAGTTAAGAAGGAGGAGGGTGGAGAGGAAAGTAGCTGAGCCTCTGCTGATTGGACCTCCATTGCATTTAAACTGCCCAGAGGTTTAACTAAACCTAATTAACTAAAAATCAAAAACAGCAGTGGTACATTCAGGGCAAGTGTGTCTGAGATTCCTTTCATCTCAGAATGTCTGGCTTAGTTCAGTTGCCTTATTTTGCAGCTGTCTTTCACAGTACTCTTTTCAAACTGGGAAACTGTCCTATCTGTAAACAAATCACAAGTCTACAAGGACAGATTATTTATCTAGGGTCTGTAATCGGCACTCTTCAGGTAGAAATTATGTGTCCGGTTCAGCCTTTCTAATCTACTGAGCCTCCATATTGGATCTAATCCTCAGTAACAGAGATGAAATGATGGAAGGTGTTGAAGCTACAGGAACCTTGGGGGGAAGTGATCATGCAATATTGGAATTCAACATTCTGGAAGCACAAGCAATAGAACACAGTCAAACTAGAGTCTTGGACTTTAAGAGAACTAATTTCAATAAACTTATAGAGGGCTTGGGAAGGATTCCATGGATGAGAATCCTCAAGGGGAAAACAACTCAAGAAGCTTGCAAAATTTTGAAAAGTGAGATAATAAAAGCCCAGTCTAGCACAATACCAACCAAGAAGAAAAATAACAGCTCTCAAAATAAACCAGCATGGCTGCATAAAGAAATCTCTGATAAACTGAAAGATAAAAAGAACAAGTATAAAAAATGGAAAGAGGGGCACTTAACTAAGGCAGAATATCAGCAAATAGCCCGTGCCTGCAAAGATGAAGTGAGGAAAGCTAAGGCTCAAAATGAACTAAGACTTGTGACCAAAGTCAAAAATAACAAAAAAAGCTTCTTTCAATAGGTAAAAAACATGAAAAAAAGTTAATGAAATGATTGGTCCATTAATGGCGAAAAAGGGGCAAGAAGGTGAGAAAGCAGGGAGAAAGCAGAACTATTTAACTCATTTTTCACATCTGTCTTTACACAAAGGGACAGTCCAACCTATCAGAAACAGTACATAAAATAACAGATTAGAAACACAAGTTAAGATAATCAAGAAAGTAAGTAAGTGAGCACCTGTCCACCCTAGATGAGTTCAAATCACCAGGGCCAGATGGATTACACCCCAAGGTTCTGAAGGAACTGGCAGATGTGATCTCAGAACCACTGAACTATATTTTTCAAAGATCCTGGAGCACTGGGAAACTACCAGAGGATTGGAAAAGAGCTGATGTAGTTCCCATCTTCAAAAAAGGGAAAAAATTAGATCCAGGAAACTACAGACCTATCAACCTGACCTCAATACCTGGGAAGATTCTGGAAAAGATAATTAAACAATGAATCAGCAAACACCTAGAGGCAAACAAAGTTATTATTAAAAGCCAACATGGGTTTGCAAAAACAGATCATGCCAGACAAATCTTATTGCATTTTTGACCAAATTAGTGGATCAGAGGAATGCTGTGGATATAATTTACTTGGACTTCAGTAAGGTATTTGGCAAAGTAGATCACAACCGAGTACTTGATAAGATAGAAAAATGCAGGTTAGACAGCATCACTACCAGATGGATCCGTAGCTGGCTGACCGGCCGTGCTCAGTGAGTGGTCCTCAGTGGAATTGCATCTACATGGAGGGAAGTGTGTAGTGGGGTGCCCCAGGGCTCTGTTCTGGGCCAGTGCTCTTCAACATCTTCATCAATGATTTGGACGAGGGGATAGATGGGGAACTCATCAGATTTGCAGATGACACCAAGTTGGCAGGAATAGCTAACACTCCAGAAGACAGGCTTAGGATACAGGAGGATCTGGACAGACTTGAACACTGGGCACTATTAAACATAAGGAATGGTTGCTAGAATTGGGTATGTCTAGTTTAAAGAAGAGAAGGACAAGGGGGGACATGATAGCAGTATTCCAATATCTCAGGGGCTGCCATAAAGAAGAGGGAATCAAGCTATTTTCCAAAGTACCTGAAGGCAGGACAAGAAGCAACGGGTGGAAACTAATCAAGGAGAGAAGCAACCTAGAACTAAGGAGAAACTTCCTGACAGTGAGAACAATTAATCAGTGGAACAGCCTGCCTCCAGAAGCAGTAAATGGTCCAACACTGGAAGTTTTTAAGAAGAGACTGGACAGCCATTTGTCCGAAACGGCGTAGGGTTTCGTGCCTGAGCAGGGGGTTGGACTAGATGACCTCCAAGGTCCCTTCCAACTTTACTACTACTACTACTATTACTACTACTACTACTGCTACTACTACTATTACTACTATCAGACAGGATTGAGAACAATATAGTTCCCTCTGTTGACTTTGGATGGGCAACTCCATTCTACTCCAAACTTTGTATCAATCTGAGAATCCCCATTTCAGTCTCTGATATTTAGTCACTCACTAAAAAATAATGAGACAGAGATCAGAGCTGATTTGATCCTAAAGATCACTTTGATCTCAAGAGATACTCTCATGGATGTTCCCAGAAAAAATTAAATGCTGGATTAGAAATAAATATTTGTTTTATGTGTACTAATTTCCACAATGTTGCAATTCATTTCTCTGCAATTCATTTTTCCCCCACTGGAAGAAAACACTACTTTTGTCAGTTCTGTACTTCTAGTCCAGTATTTTTCAACCACATGAACTTTAAGATGCATAGACTTTAAGTTACAGACTTCTTCAGTTAGTTGGAGTTCACACATTTAAGTTGCTGAATTTGAGAACCACTGCTCTAGTTTAATAGGATATTGTAGGAGTTGACTAGGCTGAGCCCAATGGAGGGGGTCAAGGACATCATCAATTTGGAGTCCCTTCATGCCCTTAAAAGATCTAAGTCTAGCCCTCCTTGAGTTCCACTGACTCTTAGGATAGAGCTGGAAGGGATCTTGGAGGTCTTCTAGTCCAGCCCCCTGCTCAAGCAGAAGGACCTGTACCATGTCAGATAAGTGACTGTCTAGTCTCTTCTTAAGAACGTCCAGTGATGGAGCACCCATGATTTCTGAAGGTTCCACTGTCCTCTTATCTGCCACTATTTTGCTTTGACCATTAGTAGTTCAGATACCTGCAAAAAGATAGCATGGAATAAACCTGTACTCATTTGAATGATCTTGGTTCCCGATTTCCTCTGTCTCACAAGATATATTAGCAATTCTATATTGATTTTTAAAAATTATGACATTAAAATATTCAGTAATAGAATATTATCTCCTTGTTGATCCCTGCCTGGTGTTTTAAAACTTTTCCCCAAATTTGATCTTAGCTTCATCACATTCTACGAAAAGTATCATTCAACAACAGTGCTGGAGAGAAAATTTCCTTTGATCAAAGTGGAGAAAGAAAAGCTGGATTTGATATTATCAACTGGATAACATTCCCAAATCAGTCTTTCTTGAAAGCAAAAGTTGGAAAGATTGACCCATATGCTTCTTCAAAGAGTATATTCTCCATTAACAACAATAGCATTATATGGCCCAAGAAGTTCAATCATGTAAGGATCCACCTATTTCCTGAGGTATTTCCAAATGTAATAGTATATGGGAATGACCTTGGGAAGAGCCAAGACAAGGGACCAATCAGATAAGAGGTAGTTTAGCCCACAGAAGCAAAGGGGTATGGCAAAAATCTCAGAAGGGATTGTCCCTTGTTTTTTGATGAGTAAAGGGAGACATGTACTTTCAGACTTGCAAAATTTTGTTAGCATAATCTTACAATAAAGTAGACTTAGTTCATCTAAGCTTCCTGTCTGGACTACCATGCATGTCTAACACAGATGTCGTAGCCATGTTTGGTCAAGGAAATCATTGGCATTGGTCCTAGAAGCTGGATTGCAGAGGAGCAATGGAAGTCTCCCAAACAGTTTTGCCTCCTCACCTTAATGGGCTAAAAAGAGATAATATACAGCATTTCCTAACGCTTCTAAGGCAACACTTCACACATGTGTCAGCATGCTGTCTTCTACGCACGAAAAGAGAAAGGGTATTCTCTTAACATTCAATTTGGGGAACATAAAAGTATTTAATTTCACATTTTCTCAGGTTTCTTAAGTGACATTTATCCAAATGAAGGTTTAAGGCAATCTTGAGATAAATATCAATTATTAAAGAAGTTAAGTGACAGCCTAACTCACTAGAACCATCCCTTATGAAGAGCATGAGAATTGGGCGAAACAATAATCATACAGTGCAGTAAATGAATATTGCTATTTATTTGATTTAGTTTTGCTTTTTATATGTTTGATACATATTTATTGATACAACTACTTGATTTTTTTACATTAAGACACAACCTATTTCAGTATGTAACGATAACTGCCATCAAGGATTTTATAAAATGAAGAAGGAGGGGGAGCCCTTTTGCTGTTATGATTGCCTTCCATGTCCAGAAGGAAAGATTTCATCCCGGAAAGGTGAGAAAAAATGAACCTAGAATTTTCAAATGCTTTGATATTTAGCACATGCAGTTCCTTTGCATTTAAAATGATGTATGTAATTCATTAGCATCATATTAAACAGTTCAGTTTGGGTTTTGTAGTATGGGTTAAAGATTCTATCCAATTTGTGAAGGAGCAAACACATGGAGAAGGAGAACAAAACAATAAGTATTTAATCCTTAAACATTATGTTTGGAATATTTATCTTGGCCTTTTTTTTTGAAGGCCTGAAACTGCAAGACCACCATTTCCTCCAAACCATTTGGCCCACCCAGTGTACATATTACGCTACTCTCTTTATTCTGTGAGACGAAAGGGACTGAGGTCTTTTCCAATAATCAATTGCCAGAGCAATAAAGAATTAAACAAGAGTTAAAGACAGCTTACTGGACCATAGTGGATGGAAGTAACTATTTGTAACAAGGGAATCAAGAACTTGTTAAGCCTGGCTTCATTCAATTAATAGTGAAGGATCCTGTATTTGGTCCTTCACAAGGTGGAAAGACATGCACAGTCTTTAGATAATCCCAACTTGAACTGTTGGTCCTTCACAAGGTGGGAAAGACATGCACAGTCTATAGATAATTCCAACTTGAACTGTTGGAGAAGGTTTAACATTCATAATAAATTTATTCACCATTTTTATAAGTGATAATTAAGGTTTGTTTTGTTTCTACTAAAGTTGACTGATAAGATT